GTCTTGGGAACACTAATTAATATGACTGCTAATGACCAATAAGATACTTAGAGCATTTCATGGGCAAGAACTCCTTCTGTCACCTAAAACACACACGGCCAAACTCCGATCCCTCAGCTGTCCCTCACCTCCCCGGTATGAGGCTGTAGGACAAGCACTCTACTGCAAAGCTGTAGGTTCTAACTCAGTAGCCACTCCTTGGAAACCCTATTGTTGCTGTTAAGTACCATCCAGTTGGTTCCAACTCATAGCAACCCTGTATAGGGTTTCCGAGAAGTGGCTGGTGAGTTTGAACCACCGACCTTGCTGTGATTCAAAGCCAACTCAACAGCACTAACCAACAATGACTCCCCAAAAAAGGACCTACAAGTCTAGAGTTAGGACTTGTGCTCCTTAGCTATCAGAAACAGAAAGGTCGCTTGTGTCCAATGAAAATGAAGACTATACAAAAGTGTACTAATTTCATTCTCTAGGAATTAACTTCTTCCGCCCCCACCCCCACCAAGGGTCATAATAACCTGTCATCATCCTAGCCGCTGCTTTCTTTCCCACCACCAACAGGATGTAGAACCTGATTTAGTCCAGTTTGAGTTCTGTTACTTCTTGGAACCAAAAGGATGACTCTCATCTATGAGCCCCATGCTTGGTAAGGGGGTGGGGTGGGGTGTCAGTGAAAGAGAGGGAGACCCTCAACCAGACGGAATGGCGCAGCGGCTGCAACAATGGCCTCAAACATGGCAGCAACTGTGCAGATGGCACGGGACTCAGCAGGGGTTTGTTCTGTCGGAACCAACTCCATGGCACCTAACAACACCACCATGAAAAAAAGAAAAAAATTCCTACCAGGACTACTCAATGCAAACTCACATTTTCTATTTTTCTTCTTCTCCAGTATTTTGTGTAGATCTCAAAAAAGAGAAAGGCGTAAGAAAAGAAAGAGAAAATAAACTATTTTCAAGAGTCCAGCCATGAAGAAGACACCCTAAAGAGAGGACACAGTGTGGAAATGCAGTTATGGAAGACCCTTGCCAAAAGTCATGCAAATCTGCAGCACAAGACCTCTCTGAAGTGTTTCAGAGCAAACACGGCATTTTCAATCGTCTCATGGGCATGTAAAAGTCGGACAAGGAATAAGGATGACTGTACAAGAATTTCAGTTACGGCGTTAGGGAAGAATATTAAAACTACCATGGACTGCCAAAAGAACAAACAAATTTGTGTTGGAAGAAGTACAACCAGAATGCTTCTTAGACACCAAGATGACCAGACTTCATCTCTCATACTTCGGACACATTATCAGGAGGGACCAGTCCCTGAAGAAGGACATCATGTTAGGTCAAATGGAGGGTCAGTGAAAAAGAGGAAGACCTCCAATGAGATGGATGGCACAGAGGCAGCAGCAATGGACTCAAGTGTACAAGGACTGTGAGGGATGGTGCAGGACTGGGCAGGGCTTCATTCTGTTGTACATAAGGTCGCTATGAGTCAGAATCAACTGTATACACCTAACAACAACAACCTAACAACTTGCTGAAACGGCCATCAGCATTTCTTCCAATGTGAAGAGAAAACAGTCTGATGGGTGAACTATGTCCAAACACAGACCCTCCCCGTTTCACCAGGGGCCACAGTTATATGACACATCATTTCCATAATACCTTATATTTCAACAGTTCATACTGTATGTATGTAGTAACAGCGCCTTCAATATGCCCTGTTATAAAATCTCTCATTCCTCGAACACTTGGTGTACAGATCGCCCTTTTGGAAAGAGCAATGGGGAGTGAGTACAACAACGACAGGAAAAGTTGAGAAGGAAATGAGTCTGCAGATAAACACAGCATCAGAGAGAACGATGGAGAAGGGAGAGGTGAAGAAACCATTACCAAGTCCACTCACACTCTTGGCATTTTCGGTGGGAGGGAATCGACCTGCCACCTGAACACAGATATTGAACACTAGAAGGCAGAGAAGCACACACAGGCTTTTACTCACAGGCACTGGGGCCGTGCAAACAGTCAATGAATGCTGTTGACCAAAAGGCAAGGGAAGTTACAAAATGTAAGTGAGCGTCCGAATGTGCCCACTCAGCCTTTGCTACGAGTGAAGATGGGCAGGCTGTGGGTGCCTTCTCCTCCCTGCTGCCTGTGAGGACAGGACAGAGTCCAGACTCACACCGATTACACATCCTACACTCAACGGCATTCATGAAACGAACTCTAAATGCTCCCCCTATGTGCCAGGCAAACTGACAGGCACACATGCCCTTGAGAAATACAAACTCCCATACAACAATAAAAGTATATAAACAGACAGACAAATAGATAAACATACAGGCAGACAGATAGGTGCCCTTTGGATTCCAAAAACAAAAACAAAAAAACAAGCTGTTGAAAAATGCTTAAAAACCTAAGTCAAAAGCAATTGTCCCCAAAGCAGTCACAATGACAGCAAGGCTGTAGGGCACCAATCCCACCTGGGGACTGGGAGCATGTGTTACAGGCAGCCCCAGGTCAGATGAGATTCGTTCCCTTGTCTGTAAATCTTTATGTGGAATCTGTAGGTCAGCCAGAATAGGTGCAAACAATACTGTTCTTAGAGAACCTTACTTTCGTGCAGGGAGACAGCAAAGCCTTTGGAAGGATCTACAAACTGCGCATGAAGCAAGTGAAGGTGACGAAAAATTGGTAGCAAGCAGGGGTTGGTTCGTGAGAGAAAGATGAGGCTTCTGCTCCCATAAAGATTTACAGCCTTGGAAATTCTACACAGGGTCACTATGAGTCGGAACCGACTCCACGGCACACCACCACCACCAGCACCACCAGGGTTTGGTTCAACCATTTCACGTTAAGTAAACTTACATCAAGCATACAAAGGATTTGGACCTGAAACAGCCCTCCCCACACAACAATGGCAGCTGACCACTCTGCCGTGAACGCGTCCCTCAATAATCCAATCTCACATGCCAGGCTCACGACACCTGGTTTTGAACCCAGAATTTTCCCTTTCTAATTACTGTGGTGAATCATCCAAACTGAAAATCCAGGTCTGTTCCTGTTTGGCTTCGTCAGCCCTGACAGAACGGTTCTGATCTGCTTACAGGACAAGCAGGAGCTGTCTGCATGCCGGACTCCCCCCACCCAAGGACTGCCTGCGCTGGATTCTGCCAAGGTCATATTCAGCATCAAGTCTTCACAGTCCCGGGGGCAGGAGAAGAAGCCGCAGAGGAGACAAAGGAATGGAGGGTCTATAGGGGAGACAGGAACTGACCAACTGAATGCACGAGCAACTCATTTCTCCACAGTAACCACGGCACCTTCCAAAAGGGCACAAATGACTGCAGCCCGCTGGGTGGAAGGCCCATTAGGGGCTCTCAGGGAGTAGGGAAGGGAAGGGAAGGAGAGGGGAGGGGAGGGGAGAGCAGGAAGGGGAGGATCTGGGAGGAGGGGGAGGAGGGAGAGCTCCTGGGAGGAAGGAGAGAAGGGGGAGGATCCGGGAGGAAGGGGAGGAGGGAGAGAATCTCAGAGGAGGGAGACGAGGGGAGGGTCTGGGAGGAGGAGGACCAGGGGAGGATCTGGGAGAGGGAGAGGAGGGGAGGA